AATTTACTTCTTTTTTTTTAAAACGTTTTTTTTTCTTATATATATATATATATATATATATATACGAAAATATGAGAAAAACAAACAAACAAACAAAAGTATCACTACAAAAACTGAAAAAGTTATCAGAGATTGTAATTTATTTGCTATAACAAATTGCACCGAAGATTTATGATCTTATCTTATAATTCACAAATTAATATACTTTTTAATGCATATTGTTATTATTACCAGAAACGCCGACCTACAGGCGGCTGTTTGTGCTAGTAATTACTAAGCCTAGTATTCATATCTCATTAAAAAAGATTTAGAAAAGTGAACATTTTATAAATAGGATTTTTTTTTTCTGAGAAATACTGCACAACAAAAGTGTTCGGATTGTTCTCTTTAGCCATACGCAACTCATTGCATCAAAATTATTCAATATAAAGAGCTCAAAATTTTCAAATATTTTACTGATATAAACTGTAATGTTTTTATATATTAAACGTGGTACCATTTATCGACAAAAAAAAAGTTTTTTAAACTCTAGTTTCTCAGTATTACATTTAAACATTACATCAGTAAAGATATAATCTAAACCTCACGTACAGTCCTAGTGAAAGTCGTGTTCTTGTTGTGAGGAGAGTACTTTTATTTAAAATTGTATTATATTACAAAGAAATGGTTGTTGCACATACCACAGTTATTTTTTTAATTGTCTGAATCTTGAATACCGAAAGTGTGAATATTTTTATGGATTTTTGTTTGTGGTGCTATTCAATAAATGGCGCAGGAGTTTTGCTTACATACATAGATAATGACATACACGCTACATCTATTATAGTAAGATAAGGGTAACCTATTCTCTTGCATTACTTATTACAACCAGTTCACAAAACAATGGTTTGTGTATACTATTAAATAGTCTAATATTACGTTAGATCACAATACCCATACCTTGGCTAAACGAGAATGAGAGATTACTGTTTTTAAATTTCATATCTCGCCCATAACGAGGCTTGAACCTAGATCCGGAAGCGAGTTTTTAATCTTTTAGCTAGTGTCAGTGTTTTCAAACATTGCAGGGTTTTATAATTTGCCAAATTGTAAATATTTATCATCACACGATATATTTAGAAAGTGTCAAGTCTTTCATTATTTTTTTTCCCTCAGAATTAATTTATATTCAGTTGGTAAATGTAAGACTTTATGTTAATCACGTAAATAAAGTAGTCGTTCAACTATCTCAATAATTTGTCAAAACTACGTTTAGTTAGAACAAGTAACTACAGACTCCTACTTGTCATTTGCTACTTCATTGTAATTTGTAAGTTTGGTTTTAACATTTCTGCTTCACCTGAAGCGTATATAAGCTCCTAACTTAAGCCTTACGAAAAAACCAAGTTCAGCAGGCTAGATGACTTCTAGATAGGCATTAGTTGGTGGCGAACTAGAACAAAGCGTGATTCTAAAACACGAGTAACAAATCCTAGAATTCCGTGTTGAACTACTTACAAGTGAAGTGTTTAAAGATCTACAGTCTTATTGGGATGTTTCGTTACATCAAATGACTGATATACTAAATACAACGCTATAGACCTTTATTGCCTACCTGTAGACTTCCTAAGATCCAACTACTGTGTATATGAACATAGAGAAAATCGTGCCAAATTTGACGGAAATTCACCGTGCCAATTTTGTTCATGCAATAAACTGGAGAACAACAACCATAACACCGAAACGAAGTTGTTGAAAGCTCCCTTGACGAAAGATATCAAATTACTACTACATCTTCATCTTTGAAACACGAAAATTTTGGTTTCATAAAATTTCGGATTCCTTTTCCATTATACTTCAATTTTCAATAAACAAGAATGATAGAGATAAATATTAAATCATTCCTTCAGAAAAAATATATATAATACTTTTATTCACAATTCGTTTACCTAATTTCAGTAAAGTAACTCAAGTAGTATTTAAAAATATTGTAGCGAACATTAGCGAGAATCTGTATAACTCACGTGAAACGTCATCAGTTGAGCACTGACTGTAAAAAACACTGTTCTCACGTGTTATTGTTTTTTCTTCTTCCTTATTTTCATTGCCAAGGTTCTTGAAAAGTAATTTCTGATGTGGTTGAAGATCTACTGTATGAGACAAAAGTGTAATTTATGTGAATTAAGAATAATAAAACATTTCAACTAGAAAGACCAAGCTTATTTGTGTTTTACTGAGAAATGCTTGTAAGCATTCTTTCTTTACCGTTAAAGTTTTGTTTGCATTTCTTACAAGTTACTTTAATGATAAGATTGGAAGTAAATTTAAATAACGAAACTGGTAAATGTTCAGAAAAACATGACACCATTCTTAAGAATCAACAATCAATATTACCAGGTAAATTGAAAAAACAATCTTTGATTAAGAAAGACTTTTTATTTTGATCTTAACAGTTGCTAGATCACCAGAAAAATATGAAGATTAATTGTTGTTGTTGTTTAAAGCAAAGCCACATTGAGGTATCTGTTGTTGCAGTATCCACCGCATGGAATCGAACCCTGGATTTTAGCGTTACAAGTCCGTAGACTTACCATTGTCCCACCGGGGAACAAAAAAAAATAAGAGGTAAACTGAGAGAAAACCAATTAAAATAAATGACAACAAAATACTCGCTACTCCATAAAGCCTGTTGTAGTTGACAGTAGTAGTACAATGTCAATTATTTGGCGAAATAACGTAGGGCACAAGCTGGTTATGGGGAGAGACGCTTATGTTCCCATATTATTAGCAAGATTTCTAATCATTAGGGGATCTCTATTTACACTAAAGTGTTCATTTTAACTCTGTTATTTTGTTCATTAGATTAGATTAATCCTTTTAGATTGTTATTTCGGAATGTCTGGTGATACATTGCAGAGCTAGAATTACTTTGTTTTAGTTTATTACAAATTTTCATGTCTGAATGTCTATTTGGTTTATAGGTATGTTTATGAATATTTTTGAATGTCGTAAATCAAATTTATATTAAAATATAAACACTTTTCATAACTTATTTTGTGTGTGGATGGTTATCACAAACCTATGTTGATAAATGAGCCAAATTTGGTAAAAAAAATTAATATTAAAAAGACACCCAAGAAACATACTTCAGTGGTAATACGGCTTATTTTAATTTTTGTATCATACTTTTATAAAATTGTTGATTAGAAAAATGCTTAATAATAAACAAAACCAAAGCTTATGAATAAACACAGCTATGTTTGACTGAGTTAAAACATTCTACCTATCAGCAAATAAAATATCACTAATTAATTAAAAATTACGATTAGTACAACAAAAAACAGATGCCAAAGGTTTTGTTCAAGAAGCATATGACGTAAAAGATTTGAATTCGTTTTTAATGAAATGTGAGTTCGTAATTCTTACTAGTATTATTATAACTTATTGTGTCTTATATAGACTTCCTTATTCTTAAAGCCCGTGTTCATGGTCTAGGATTTTCTCTTATGTAATTTCTTTCCCCTTTTGTGTGGAATTCAAAATAGGTTTAAAAAATAACCGTATACTGACAACGATCATGATCGCACAACACCTTTGTGAAATTATGTTGAAAAAAAGTCTATCAATTTTTGCTGCTTGAAAAAGGCATTTCACATAAACTCGTAAAATAAGTAGTTTGTGTGGACCTGAATTTTACGTCATTTTTGATTTTCAGTAAACAAAATACCACACGATTGATAATATTCTTCTTATAAATATCTCATTGATATTTAAGGAATAACAAGCATATGTTTGTTTGTTTGAAATTAAGCACAAAGCTACACAATGGGCTATCTGTGCTCTGCCCACCACGGGTATCGAAACCCGGATTCTAGCGTTGTAAGTCCACAGACATACCGCTGTGCTACTGGGGGGCAACAAGCATATGGCAGCATCATGAAAATCTTTCTTGTAGTTGAAGTTCATTATTAGACTATTTTTGGCCAAAAGAGAGATAATAGTCACAGTTTATTAATATTGATGAAAGTTTGATTTATGTTTGAAATTCATTATGGATAGTCAACAGTTGTAACACTTTATAACCAAGTTAAAGGAATCACTCAAGATATTCATACAGGAAATTGGCCATTTTGTATAATCTTGTGTTTTCACGTAATTTAACATTGTATAAAAATTGCAGAAGTACACAGTATCTAAATTTTCTCTTCGTGGTCATTTATTTTGTCTGTCTTTTAAAATACGACCAAATGCCGAATTAATTAAATATAGAGTAAGTTTTAACATCACATAAAACACAATAAATGTTCAGTACTAATCCTGTAAGTCAAATTAACAAAATGAAATAAAACGTCCAGATAAATGTTTTGAGAAGGAAAGCTTTTTTGGAACTTGTACAATATTTATGGGATATTAAAATTACTAACAGATTATTAATAGACAATATTTGCATTTTATTTTCAAATATTACGTGATGTAATACAAATTATTTAAGTTGACCTAGAATCTCTCTAATTACTTAAAATAATTTGTCAATATTATTCTTTACCAGATTCCTGCAAAACACGACATGTAGACATTGATATGTAGTCTCCACATTCGTTCAGTTCTATGAAACTATTCTGCGAAGTCAGAGGAACTGATATGTACTCTAACTGATCTTGGTAAGTTGGGCGATTCGATACAGAATCTAAAAAAAATATCGATTAAAAAGATTTTTTCATTAAAAGTACATTTCAAAAACTGATTCAATTTCACAGTAAGAGGCATTCAAAATCATCACATATGGTAAATAAATGATCATGATTGTCGATGTTTTCTCCTTCTTCTTTGGTTATGCAGTTTCTTTAAGAAAATAAATAACTGTTGTTCTTTCCAAAAAGTTTTTGAAGATATAATAATTTACATTTATCAATCGAAATTGAACATGATATTAAAATGGGCCGGTTTTGTTATGGTAACTAGTAGGGCTGCAGATCCAAAGGTTCACGATTCACACCGCAATGTTACTAAACAAGTTTCGCGCTTTCAGTTGTGAGTGCGTTATAAGAATAACAGTCAATGACATTACTTGGTCCAAATCTGAAAAAAAACAAAAAAACAAAAACTTGTGGTTGTGGGTGCTGCTGTCTGGCTGTCTTTCTTTTGGTCAGTGGTTTAAAATTAAGGACAACCATTCCAACCCTATGGGTCTTTAACCTGTTCATTTAGCCCATGCGCGCATAAGGTGTCCTACAAGTTGTAAATATCTAAGCCGATCTTTAAGAAAATAATAAGTGTTCCAAAAAAAGAAAAAAATAATGCTAAATTCGATAATGTTCCTAGTCTGTAAATATTTCAATTTGTAATTTCTGCCCATTTTCATATCATTCACAACATGTTAGAAAAAAAACAAAAACAAAGTTCTTTACAAAATGCGGATCGATCGACGGATCCCACACCGTTTTTCATATTGTCAAGAAGAAGAACGCAAAAACTTATAATTACACTAAAGTATATTTGTTGTAAAAGAGAAAAAAGTATTTAATGCAATATAAAACACTTGAATAACGAATGATATGGCTGTTATATTGCCAATAACTTTGACAACGCCCCCCAGTGGCACAGCGGCATGTCTGCGTATATACAACGCTAGAAACAGATAGCCCATTGTGTAGCTCTGTGCGTAAATTCAAACAAACAAACAAAAACTTTGACAAAAATAACAAATTAATCATAAGTTATTTAAGGATCTTTATAAAAGATTATTGTCTGTCGAAGCTACATTATATTAGTCTAGCAAATTCAATTAACTGATTAATTATGCCTTAAATACCATGAAAGGGTTGAACAATATTTCACTAATGGAATCCAAAAATAATAAACTTAAATATTGTAAATTTTACTTAGTTTTATATTTTGTCTAATAAAAATTTAATATTTTATTTTTTAAAGGTATCTAATTTAACAAACTTAACTTAATGTGTATTTATGTAATTTATGTTATTAGTTAAAATAATGTTTCCTAACCTGGTGCATGTAGAACAGGGAGTCTTGACATCAGCATGTAATCTTTACACTTATTCATTTTCGTATAACTATCGTGCGAAATATCAGGAAGTGATAAGAACTCGGGTATATTTTGATAAGTTGGACAGTTCTGCAAGGAACCTATAACATATATTATTTAATTAAATAGCTTATTTCAATTTAGTTTTAAAATTCAAAAGCACATTCGTAAAAAAAGGAACTTTGATTAATAAACGTGAACTAAATCTATTAACTCTACTTTGCATAGTACTTTCTAAATTTAGAATCATCCAAATAGCAGTATTATGTGCGAAAAGTTTGCGAGTTTACGATGTACATTTGCTGGCCACACTTGTACAATATGCTTCATAACAGAAATATTTTTGAGTTTGTAAAAAAGATTAGATGTAATTCTGTATACAAAAACCTCCTTGGACACTCAAGAAAAATACATGAGCTATCTGTGTAAAATCAAAAGTGGTACACATCATTTGTTTACAGCAGTAAAACTGTAACCAATACTTTTTTCTAAAATTTTTATTGATACAGCAAAACAGGTAACTGAAGTGTGAATAATTTCATTTCTTTTGATGACCATTTAACTTATCTCCAAATCTTTGGAAAGCTATGTAACCTGCATTTTTCTGGCAAAGAAAACGATTGATATTTATTTCCTCTGAAATGGAAACAAAGGTAAAAGTTATGAGAATAAATTGTGTCAAAATCCTCATTTTCACTTTGGTATTATAAAAACAGGTTATGATAATGATCGATAGAATAATATTGTCCAAAAGAACAGTAGTTTGTTAATAAAAGTTCAACGTAAGATTTAAAATATAAAAAAATGCTTTAAATATGATAACAGCGAATATTTATTAAACATTTTCTTAGAACAGGCATCAGATAAACTTTGAATAACATGAAAATTATAAATATGTATTAAAGAGTGTCGTCTTGATTGGTAGTTTTTGTTTTTTTATGTTAAATTCTTAGTGTTTACAAGAACTAAGTGAGTTATGAGAAATATGCAACAAAACCATCGACATCTGGAAATAATTTTATGTTACACGACCACATTATTGTTTGATGTGGCTTTGTAACAAGAGTTGTTCTCAGGTGAATGATTAGTAATATTTCATTTCAAAAAGTACAATAACAGCAACTTTTACCATAGACAAGTTCTGATTTTAATAATTATTTAATACTAGTGTATAGCCAGACAAAAATGACGGGGCAAGTACTACCACTCCCACCCCATAGTATACCCTAACCTCACATTTCATAGCTAACTGAGATATATAAATTTTGCAAAATCAAGTTTGACTAACAAAGAGGCAGAAAAGTGTAGTCGAGGCAGACAAACGTCGGTAAATATCTTTGTGAGCCAATCAAAATTAAGATCATTCATAAAGTGAATTCGTGGCGTATTCATAGATTAATTATTGATAAATTCAGTTATATTAACAACTTCTAATATATATAGAAAAGCCAGTGCGTTTTGGTAACACTACGTTCCTACAATGGCTTTTATGTCATGTTGCTTAGCAACAAAAGTATAACCTAACATAGTTGTTAGTCTATGTACTGAAAGCATAAAATGAAATGTATAGACAACAAAACTGGGAAAATATTTGTTGATTTCTTAATTTAATGTCCCCGTTGATTAAAGAGGTTTTTTTTTTTATTAAAAACGTTGGTGATATGACAGAAAATAGCTTAATTCAGAAACGATTTAAGTTTAAAATTGAATCGCTATTTTTACTTTCATGATATATATTTTATACACTTGGCTCTTGGTTAGATGATCCTACACTACAACTTTACTTTAGGGGTATTATACCAACATTCACTACATCTATCAGGTTTCCCAAAACTCCCTCCCCCTCACGGTCCCCTGTACCCCCCGTCACTAAAATCGTAATGGGCAGATAGTAATCGAACTATTCTATCTGGATAAATGCATTTTGTCTTTTATGACTCCTCCTATTTCGAAAAATCAAGAGAAATCAAGTGTGACGTGACACATAGGCTTTTTATATAGGTTAGTTTACAATATTGTTTGTTGCTCCATATTTTTAATCAATTTATCTAAATTTGAAACCTTTGTATGGTTTCAATAATATATTGGAACTTATTTATGTTGTAGATTCTAAATATTTTTTAATTTGATTAAATGTGTTTGTATATACTAATTGTTTTTAATTTGATTCAGCATGTTTCAAAGTAGAATAACGTTGAATCTAAGAAATATAATTTGTAATGTTCTGTAAAATACTACACTTTATAGAATAAAAGTTAGAAAAACGCTTTTGTTAGAGTATCTAAATTTACAACTTAGAGTTGGCCCCGACAGTATACTGTTGTTAAAACGTACCACTAAAAAGAATATGAGCCCGGCATGGACAGGTGGTTAGGGCGCTCGACTCACAATCTGAAGGTCACGGGTTCGAAACCCCGTCCCACAAAATATGCTCGCCCTTTCAGCTGTGGGGGCGTTATAATGTGACGGTCAATCCCACTACTCGTTGGTAAAAGAGTAGCCCAATTAGAGACGGCTAGCACAGATAGCCCTCGTGTAGCTTTGCGCGAAATTAAAAAACAAACAAATAAACTAGCAGGAATGACAATTAATGTTCAAATGACGATTCTTTTAAAAAACGTTGTGCTTGAGAACTTCATTAAGATATCTATTTAATACCGGGTGGGGTGAGGGCTAAATATTAAGCAAAAATAGTAATTAAAGCTGACTATTAGCATATGAAATACAACTAAAAATTAAACTTACTACTAATATCACTTTCTTCGTGTCTTGTCATCTTTGGAACAAAATTGGCAACTTGGTATGTTTCACGTTCCACTCTTTTCTATACATTATTTTAAGATAATATACGTTATTTCCAAAATAAATAGTGTTGTGATACAAACTATACAATTTACAACTAAAATGAAAAGGCACTTTACACAACATTTTTAAAATTAATCAGAATATTTGTAACTTCATCACATTTCAAAACAAACACACTTCTTCGCTAACCTTTATATTCCTCTTTTTTATGTATTCATGATGTCTAAGTTTTGTAAATAGCGATCTTATTATTTCGACATTTTTATAACCAATGCGTGATATCCATAGAATGTATTAAATCGTTTCCAAAAGTAGAATACTATTGTAAGAAAGTAGCCTAATAGATGATTCACTAAACACATTTTTTCTTTTATCTGCTTTTGATCAGTTCGTTTTACTTTTTTTTGTGGTAACATTACTCTACGACCAAATCATTGGACTTTTTCCGAATATCGTAATTAAATTTTACTCAATAGGCTTACAAACTAATTGTTATTTCCTTTATGTTTACCATAAAGCAATATGATTACAAAGCAAAAATTATAATTCCACGCAATATAGATCACATTCCTAATAATCCCTAATTATGGCAATATTTGTTTTATCAAGAGTTAAATACATTACACGTCGCCAACTTAATCTAGCTCACATTTTGATGATATAAATATTACCTCAACCACTACCATGCATTTAATATCCCAATTGGCCTGATGAGCCCTGATATTAGGGGAAAACACTTCTTTGTGTAACGAAATTGTTGTTATATATTTATCTTAATGTTAACGTTTGTTTAAATTAAGTTTATATTTAAAAACATGCATAACTTATAGTGTTAGATATGTATTGCAAAACTCCCGCCTATTCTCCAAAGTTGTAGAAGATTCTCGAATCAACAATATAAACTGAGTGGTTACAAGTAAATAGACACCTAATTTTTCGTCATTTAACTGATTTATGCTAACTAATTTGTG